TCGTGTGCTGCTGTTGTACTCTGATGACGATTTTTAGTCGGTTTGGCAGTTAAAAGAAGGTCCATTATTGGGGCTTTCAGCGAGGAACTCAATGAGGTCGCGGCTTTGTTGGTGCCCTGTCGCGTGCGTGAACAACCCGTCTAGAATAAGTGGTGAGGCACCACAAAGTTCCGGGCTCGGCGAGCTCTCGTCGTACCGGTAGGATGCTGGAAACGGGCTGCTGGACGATCGCTAGACAGGCGGAAGGCAGAGTGATGGGCGCGAATGTATGTCTTCAGCCTCAAATCTTTCGCGAGCGGACGAGGCGGCGCGATGTTCGCGTGGCTCTTTGGATCGGTCGACCCGACGACCGTACAGCCCCGCGTTCGACGTTGTCTATTGAAAGTGTTTTAGTTGCTCGTGAGCGCGGCTCGGGCCGGAGATACGACCGAGGCGAGCGCGCTTCTGCGTGCTGGCGCCGACATCCACGGCGCCAACAAGGTCGGCGGAAAGGCGATGGCCAACGACAACGGATGTCATTGTAGTTTGGTAACACGGCGCTGCACGAGGCAGCGTACTGGGGCCATGCGGATATGGTGGCGCTTCTCCTTGCGTCTGGGGCACGTGTTGACTGCGAGAACGAGGTACCAAACTCTTTTGACCCGCGCTCTGGCGTAGCAAGGGAATCAATTCGCGTATTACCGATGTCCATAGATTGGCTGGACGCCGCTGCACGAAGCGGGGCGCATGGGTCATACCGCGGTGGTGGTCTCTCTCCTCGCTGCGTCTGCACGCATCGACCACATGGACAAGGTGCGGCCCGGCTTCGTCGTCTGCCATACCAATAGAAATGCAGGACGGTTGGACGCCGCTGCATCAAGCCGCTTGGTACGGCCACGCAAGCACTATGTCGGCGCTTCTCGCCGAGTCGGGAGATGCCGCGTGTGTGTGCGACCACGTACATGACGCCGACAGAATCCTTATTAGTGGCCGACGCAGACCATGTCATAGAAAGGCCGAAGTGTCCTATGTCTCGCCCGCCTCCGGCACCACACACGTGTGGTCGACATCATGGAGACGGCGCTTACAAGAGAGGTGCACAGCCAGTCGTACATCGCCATGCTAAGCGCACCGTAGCTTGGTCAAGCCATCGAGAACGACGACGCGACGCGCGTGCGCCAGCTCCTCGCCGCGGGTGCGTCGACCAGAAAGGCCACCGAGGTACATATGAGTTACGGCTGATAGCAAAATCAAGCGAGAGGGTTTATGTAGTCGGGCCATTCGCCGCTCGTGCTGGCGCTTCGCCACTGGTCCTGCCTCGTTCAGCTCCTCAAACATCCCAGCGTCGACGTCGACTACGTATCCGAGGCACTACTTTGTTTTTATCAATGAGGGGTCTCAGAGGCGTCGTGGCAGAAAGACGCGATGACGGCGTTGCTGCATGCCACCTCCATAGGCTGCAAAGCCAGTGTCGGCCTCTTGCTGCTCGCTTCTGCCAACGTGGATGCCGTCGACACCGCGGTATGGATTTCTTACAAAACCCAAAATCTTAGTGGTCGGCGTAGACGGGCCGCACGGCCCTCACCATGGCAGCGGCCAACGGCGATGTCGCTATGGTCGACTTGCTTCTTGCGGACGGAGCAAATGTCCACTCTAAAGATCACGTACGTATACAGTATATATACCCTAACCTCTCACCAAATAGAGTCTAGAAGGGCCATTCACCCCTCGTGGCGGCCAGCGAGGCGGGCCACGCACCCGTCGTGCACCGGCTCCTCGCTGCCAACACGAATCTAGTGCGTGGAGCACGCTCGTCTGTACTAGCATCAACACGCATTGATAGTGTCGAGACGCAGCGCTACAGGTGGCGATTGCCCATGGCCACCGCGACGTCGCCGCCATCCTCTTTTCGCCACTGCCCGTGCGCTCGGTAGACGCATCAACATGTCACATAGTTGTTTTCCGTTTACTGGCGCGACTAGGTCACAGAGGCAGAGCCATTGATCGACCTCTCGTCCGCGACGCTGCTTGGGAACGGGAGCTACGGCGTCGTGTATCGAGCATTCTTTCAAGGTGCCGTCGTCGCCGTCAAGGTTCCCAAGGCCCACGGCATCGAGTCGTTTCACTGCGAAGTTGCCGCCATGACCAAGTACTCATCTCTCCGACCGACGTGGCGCTGCATGCGAGTAGGTGTCGGTCACCGTATGTGCTGCCGCTGCTGGCCGTCATCCATCCGACATCGCCGTCGCCGCAGATGGTGCTGCCCTATATGGACGGCGGCAGCTTGCGCACACATCTCAGGACGTCGGTGGTCCCGATCTCGCAGTGGCGCGTGGCGTGGGTCGTCGCCAACGCCCTTCTCGATCTTGGCCTGACGCAGATACTGCACCGCGACGTCAAGTCCGACAACATCTTTCTGAGTGTGGACGGCCGCGTGCTTCTTGGCGACCTTGGCGTGGCGAGAGAGGTGCTGGATGCGAGCACTACCTTGACAAATGGCGTCGGCACGCCCTACTGGATCGCGCCCGAGGTGTTTGAGGGCGGTCACTACGACGCAGCAGCCGACGTCTACTCGTTTGGAATCGTCCTCACCGAGCTCAGCACGCGCAAGACGCCGTACTGGGACGCGTCGCGAAAAGGGTTCGCGCTCATCGATGGCGTTCGGGCGGGCGACCTGCGGCCAACGCTGGCCGTCGACTGCGCCGACTGGTTCCGAGACCTCGCACATCGCTGCTTGCGCCACGATCCCACGCTACGCCCGTCGGCGGGCGATATCGTAACGGCGCTCGCGCAACACCGGAACGCCTCGGTACGTTTCATCTACTATTGTACCAGCCCCACTTAGCACTTCGAGCAGATAACAACACCGATGGTTGCAGCCTCGGACGCCTGGTAGATGAACCAAGCCACAGGGGGGTTGCCGTGTCGGTCAGCGATGTATGTACAGGTATAATACACACGCTATTATCAAGAACACGTTTCAATATGTGGGGCGGTTGTGAGCCACACCAAGTCGTTCGTTTGACGCACTTGACGGCGAGCTTGGCCTGGACACCGACCACCGTCTAGCATGAAAGCAGGACGGACGTGTGCGATGCTCCTGCGACGGCTGGCGTGTAAAAGACGAGGACAGTGCGTCATCTTTGTGTTGAGGAAAGGGGCCTCCAGAGGAAAGGGTACTAGATTTGATCGCATTTGGTTTGAATATCGACCAACTTGAGCCAGATCCAAGTGCCCTTGACGTTGTATGCGAGGGAATGTCCTTACGCCTGTCACATCGGCTCCCACGCTCCAGAGTGGGTCGTCGTCGCCGCAGATTCGTTGCAAGGATTCCACTTTGCACTTGCTACAAATGATATGGACTTGGAGACAGATGGTCGTATGGGAATCTCCAGGCAACGCCATCTGGCCCACCCAAACGACGACGTCACGGGCAGGTTAAACAGAATCGGTCGAGAAAAACGCGTTGAACCCAATCGAGCCCGTGCCAAGTCCTGGGCGATGGCCACTGCAAGGCCCCAGGCGGGGCGTCCAATGAACCATCTACGATGCAATACCTGTGTGCTAGTGCACAAGATTTTTTAGTGCACAGACCATAAGCCTGTTGGACGTTGTTGTCCGGGTTCAATGGCGAGTTTAACGCGTTGAAGACAAGGTGGCGGGTCACCTCGACGCCTGCGACGTTCGGTCGACCGTGATGCTGGCTGTATCGGCAGTCGAACGCGGCGGTAGTATCTCCTGTGTCGTCATAGACGCGCAGAGTCTGCTCACAAAAATACCTTTTCCTCACGAAGGACCTTTTCCTCAGCAGCTCACTTTGCCATTTGCCTTCCCCTCCACCCACGGCGATGATCAACAAGTTCTTCCTCCGCGGCCTCGGCTTCTTCAACGACGCGTACGACCTCTCGGTGGTCAATATTGTCAACATTATCCTCAAGCACCAATACAAGGACGAGTACACGGCCGATATGAAGTCGAATGTCTCGACCGCCGCGCTCATCGGCGCCGTCCTCGGCCAGCTCGCGTTCGGCTTCCTCGGCGACATGTATGGCCGCAAGAACTGCATGGTTGCGACCTGCGCCATCTTGATCGTCGGTGGCATCCTCACGGCCGCGGCGTACGGCGGCTCGGACCATGGCACGCTCTGGTTCCTCGTCATTGCGCGCGGTATCCTTGGTTTCGGTATCGGTGGCGAGTACCCGCTGGCCGCGTCGTCGTCGT